GTTGCCGGGCACCGTACTCTATGCAGGAGCCTTGGAGGAGTCTTTCTAAAATCTAGATTCCAGGTCTCTTTATATATGTATATAGGAAACAATGCGAAAGGGTTGTCACATGGGACATACCAAATTATCTCCATTCACTCTCGCCCAGTAGCACCAAGTTTTTGGCTACGAGAAAACAATCAGCTGGCACACACAGGTTTCAACGTCCTCCGTCACATTGTCTACCCCATATAACTATTGGTTGATTTGCGGCTAATATCGTTCCAAGTCTGTAATTTATCATATGTTTGTTGCGATATTTCTTGTTCTCCATTCCCATTGGGTAATCCAGACGGTCTGTTAAATGTTCATTTGCAAAAGGCCTTCCAAGAGGGTCGAAACACCGTCACCGAATGAAATATTAACTCATTAATCGCTGTTACTTGTGCCTTCCTTATTGCATGTACAGTGGTGCAGCTGACTTTCAGAAAGTGAGTTGCGACCAATCAGATGACTCTCAAAGGAGACAAAATTTAGGGATGACACACGAAGGATTCGAACACACGACCTATGGGATTGTGTGACAGTGAATCAAACCACTGTATACCCTGAACACTCGTCGTTGTGCGCAAACGATCATTGACGGAAACATACGCCTGAAGAAATACTACAAGTTCAAATAGGCTAGTACTAGGTTCGAATCTCAGAGACGCAACAGGAATATACCTGTGAAGAGACTATCGATGGTGCAAGTGAAGCTTGTTGATTAATCTACACAACAAATTTATTCATTGCCGAGTTTTTAGTCTCCATTCAGTTTTATGACAGCTGCAGTTCTAATAAGCAGTAAGCCTTCGTGACTGTTAGATAGCTACTAGCACGCAACTAACCGAAATGTGGGCAGCACGATTACGAGCAATCAAACAAAAGTTGAATCATCTGAACATCGAAAAATGAGAACACGAAGAATAATCAAGACCGAAATTCTGGACTGGCTTATCATTAAATTTCTAATGACAAGTAACGATAGATGAAAGCTTGACGTAATGATGCATAACTGGTACAGTAAGTTCAAACAATGGTATCATTCACATCGATCGATGAATATTCAGCAACAAAGGAAACAGCTGGATATCATTTCACGAGTATTCGTGCAAACGAATGATCATCACTCACCAAGGGATCCTCATCTCGAGCAACACCGGGCTGGCAAACTGGTTCGTTCTGTTTCTCAGGGTTTAGTTCCGAAAGATTACTAGCCTGCGGTAAGTCTGATTGTGGTTCTATATCACCTTTGACGCAACGCGAAGTGAGGAGCGATATAGCTCTAGAAGACAACCACTGATCTAATCGATGAGCCACAGTGCGCAGTGGGTCACGAACAAATGAAGGACCTGGCACCTCTGGCATTGGAGGAATGGGAACAGTTTTATCGGGAGTTGAAATATGCTTTGTCTCGCTGTTTCTCTCAATGACCAGATTACGAGTAGGCAGTTTCACTTGTTTACCCCAGGTAGTCTCAATTGGGGGCCGTTTGCTTCGCGAAATAAGTCTGTTTGGATTCATGCGACTGTTCCCAAAACGATCATCATCACTGTCCAGGATCTCGGAGTGGTCGTCTCCGGATGTATCCGAACAGGTATCGGAAATGGAATTTCGGTCCCAATCGTTATCGTTTTCTTCGTCAGAGAAATTCACGGGTGAAGAAGCCCTGTCTAATCGCATCTGATGCAAGATATCCAACACCAACTTCCCTGGGCGACCTGGGGCGTTCACTGGGAGAAGTGAGAGCTTAGGAGTTCTATAAGGATTCGGAACTATGCGACACCATCCCGGTTCAGGAGAGACTTGTTTTCGAACATGCTGAAATGCTCGATAGCACCAATCCGAACAGAACGGCTGGGGACATAAAAGCGGAAGTAAATGAAGGGGACTAGTGAGCAAGTCTGGTACGGAGTTGTTGAACATCCTGTTAAGCAGCCTATTCGACATTAATAATGAATTACACGCATATTTGTTTCATATTCAATAGTGATCAATAGTAACTAAATTTCTTAATTCGCTTTTTTTCTATCTTGTTCGATGTTATATGCACGCGATCGATGAGAGTATACGAAAGGAATTCCTGTCGCAGTGCTTGTATTCTGACTCACCTGTCTAAATTCATTCCGGGATCCAAATGTTTCCAAATGATAAAAGAATAAATAACATTCAAAATTTGATACAACAATGCACAACAGACCGTTAGAACCAGAATGTGACTGATCATTTGTCGCCATTAGAAAGATGAGAGACAGTGCTGCAAAGTCGACCTAACGCGCCATGCGATGGTGATCACTAACAATAGATCACCAGTGAACTGGAAAGTTTTTCACTAGCTGTCACACCCGAATTACTAGAACAGAGCGTTGCAACAAAAGCCAGCACATTGGCCTGACGTTTCAGGCTTTTGGGAAGAGAAGCACTGAATTTGGATGACCATTTGTCGGATAGCACTTGAGGATTCTACTCAACATCCTGTTCTGTCGCACATAATCCGGTGATGGTCAAAAGCGCGACTGTGGGAAATTATACGAAATTAGAAATGCCAATTTCTGTATAAATGAGACAGGAGTGTGAGAAGGTGCGCATAGCGCCCCTCGAATCACCTTACGGTCGGTTGCATCATAGACCCGGCGTCTATGAGAACTGATGCGATAGACCTGACGGATTGATGTACCACGCGGTTTCTGGCAGAGTACGTAGCCACAATTCCCATGAGCGTTCCGCTCCACAGCGATATTATCATATTGCTCCCGTTCCAACCAGGGTAACTAAAAAGAGAGGAAAAGCAAGTGCGCTAGAAAAATATGGATACTGAAGGATGTGGAAACCAAAGCTAGTCACTTACTATATTGAGCCATTTTATGAAATCAAATAAGAATGAAAACAAAGTTAGGTAGGCGAAATAAGCTGTTTTTCGATAAATTCATCAACTGGCCATTACAGTTATTTGGGTTTGTCGATCTGGTTTTGATCGCATTAAACTAAATATACGAAATGTGCTAAGTCTGTTTATCTGATCCTTATTTTAAGTAGGTCATTGGTGCATCCCCGGGGGTGTATTGCTGGGTTTGTTTATCTGCAACCATGACAAAGCTAAAAGCCGAACTGCTTTTGGTTGCCTAGGGGGATCCAATGTCTGGATAGCTATCGCCTCGGCTACGCATAAAATGATAAACCGAAGTCGTTTTGGCAGAGGTGACAGTGTGTGATAAATGTTGCGTAAAGCCTGATCAACATTATATTTGTGTCGTGTCTCCAGGTAGCGCTTTTCGTCGTCTCAACCAGTGAGGGTGGTGTTCGCGTATCCTCTTTGACAGCTGCCTCGTAGTTCGGTCGATGTCAGTCGCACCACAGGTCAAC